GAAAGGAAGTTAATTTTAGTAAGACTGGGAAACGACACAATGAGTCAATGGTGGAGAGGAACCAAAAATAATAAAATATCCAGCTAACTATAATTCCCAAATGAAACAAAGTAATTACAAGACAATGTCCTAGGAAAATAATTGAATTTAAGCAATTTTATTTGTTATTACTGTTTTTCCTGAAATTTCAGAGTGGAACAGTGCTGCAACGCATGTCCTTAAAGCTGGTAAACTAAACAGAAAATGCATTTTGGGTGAAATAACAGCAGTATGATTCCGATGTATCATATAGACATACAGACACAAACTTTGTAGGGCTATTAAAATTATTCGTCTAACATACAGCATAGTCGTGTCAGACCAGGGATCAGTGCTGCTGTTGTTACGGTAAATAAGGAGGGACTTGAACACAGACTTTGGAGATACGGAAGACCGGCTGCATGCGAGGAAACCACGCAACCAAACCCTTTTTCCTGACCTGTTCGTTGACGTCTGTGGTCCCATACGCAGTGGGGTGCTGCAGCCTGATGCACCCGCTTTTGGCCCACCTTTGGAGAGCAGCTTCTCGGTGAGGTGCCTTCAGGCAGAGCAGGGTCCAAGCGCCTTTTCCACCCTTCTGCTCCCACGGGAGAAGACCTGCGTGGCTGTGAGCCCGCGAGGGCAGTGTGGATGCCCCGGTTCCTTGCTGCCAGCCTGCCGTATTCATGAGATCTTCCCAACCTCGGCACCGTGGGAGGAGATCTTGCCTTCGCCCACACGCCGCCTCTCTCTCTCTTTCCAGCAGCCGGTGATACGTGGCAAGCTTTTCACGCCCGCAGTAGATCTGACATGTTTTAGATCTCAGCAAGGATTAAACAGGAATTGTATCGGGTTCAGGAACAACGTGGAGAACTGAAATGTTTGTGAAGCCATGGGCTTCACTGCGTAACTATTTAAGAAACCAATGTAAGCGCTAAGAAATTTGGAGGTCGGAGAGCAGCAGCAACCTTCTCGTGGTGGCTGGCTGGCTTGAGAGCCGGAGTCGACGCGGGTTACTAAATGCAGTAACACCGCTTGCCCTTGTACCAGCCTGTGCTGGCATAGCTTGACCTGACTCTGGAGATGTGCGAGCTTGGTGACAAGTCCAGGCTTTGTGCTGGCTGCCGTGTTTTAGCCAAGGAATAACGTATAAAATAGAAAATTCCCGAGCTAGATATTTGTAGTGTGTAAAGGATGAAAACTTTATTTGGTAGTAGACTTTGCTGTTATTGCATCAGGGAGAAGACTGAAGAGCTCCTCTTGCGATGAAGATCACTGCGGAGGGGTTCGGAAATCCGCCTTTGCCTTGCTTCAGTAAACCGGTCCTGCACCTGGAAACGGAGCCGCTCCGCTCCCGGGCGCTCTGATCTACCCGAGATATTTACGGTAGAAAACCCCGGGAGAAACCCCCTTCCTTTTGCCTCCCGTAGCCGTG